AAACAGTGGCGCCGGGGTATTCACGAACCCCCGGTGGGCAATACGGGCTAAATAGAGCCGTCGGGGTATTCGCGACGCCCCGACGGTAGTTGGAGGGAAAGCCCTTATAAAAGGGGTATACGTTCTCGCTCTCTCTCTCTCTTTCTCACTCACACAAACATTATGTGTGACAACACTGGCCGACGCATATCAGCGCCACTGCGCGCAACTCTGGCCGATGCCATACCTGAGCCGTTGGGTTTATAATTGGCGCCGCAGAGACTGACCCTTTCTGCCGCGGAACTAACGGGACCGGAATGAGCCGGGAATACCCGCTACTGGTCGGGCAAACGCCGGGCAACCTTAAGCAAGTTGCGCCGGCATAACACATAAAAGGGGTGTCGCATTTTTTTCTCGCGCTTTCTCTCTAATGGCGATGGCGGTGCTGTACGGGGCACTGATCATGGTCCAGGCGAGTAACAGCAAGGAGAAAAAATTGGGCGAACCATTTAAGGGCGCGTGCAATAACACCGACGACTGCGCCAAATTAGAAAAATGGATCAAGCTCAAAAAGGAAGACCCCAAAGGCAACGTCACCTGCTTCAACCTTCAGTGTTTTTGGATCTCGCTCAATAAGGACGGAAATGGCAAGGACAAAAAGGAGAAGGAGATATTCCCGGGCTCGTGCGTTAACGAGGCCTCGTGCGAGAAACAGGACAAATACATCAAGGCCAAAAAGGCAGATTTCAAAGGCAAAGTGATCTGCTTCAATTTGCAATGTTTTTGGATTTCCGTCACCCATGACATGAATTGTAAGGCTAAGAATTCTACGCTCAACGTAAAAGTTAGCAATTCTACGCTCAATGTAAAAGTCAACAATTCTACGCTCGACGTAAAAGTTAATAATAAAACTGTCGTATCTGCTGGATAACATGATCAATTATATTCATATTTATTGTAATGCTTTTTAATTTATTATTGCTTATTTTTGTTAAAATTTTGAATTAGTATTTTATTTGAATGGCCATGTTAAATTTAATAAAATTAATAAATTAAGTATATTTTGTAATACATTTTAAAGTTATATCTTTTTAGATTTTAAAGATAATTAGATAATTGTATTTATAACTAATTGTTTGTACATTTTTAGTTCTATTATTTAATAAATACAAACATTCTCTCTCTCTTTCTCTCTCCTGCTCTCTATTTTTAGAAAATTAAACAAATTAAAAGTTTGGTTATTACTAATTAATAATTAATGACAATTATTATTGAATAAATAATTTGTATTTCTATATTGAAATGTTATTTTTTGGTCACAATGTGTCTAACATACAGGTAAATGGCACCAGGGTTTTGCGCGCCGTAAATTCACCCCTACTCACCGGGGCTTCGACTCGCACGTGGGCTTCTGGTCGATGGCCACCGGGTATTACAATCATCAAAATTGTTTTCTTAGCGACAATTGTGGCCACGATTTAAAAATAATGAAAAATAGATATAACCTGGTTAATTAACTTAAGTTTATCTAGGTGAATGAATAATTTGTGCTGTATTTCTGTCAGTGAACAATACAATAACAGTGTTGCTAATGACTGTTAATTTGAATAACATAAATTATAAATTATAAAACATAAGACCAAAATTTTTTAAAATATTTGTTTTACACTTAATATTTATTTTCATTATTAAAACTTTGTTGTATGTCACTTATATTTTAAATATTTTTGTGTCTTACATTAAAATTAACTCATATATGAAAAATAGTTTTAAAAAATAGTTACTAAATGTTTTATTTAGCTTATTTTCTATCGTTAACCGACATCGTTTGTTGTCATAATAAAAAATTATCCAACTTAATATTCATTTGTATTAGGATCCGGATTCCAGCGCCAATCCATGTAATATCCTTTGCCATGGTTAAATTTCATGTAAACCTTGCCATCCAAATAGCACCTTGTCAGAACGTAGAAGCCATATGGTCGGGTCTGACCAGGGTTGTAAATTAGGCGAACTTGGTACTCCACATTTCCATTAGGATTTTGTTCGAGAAAGTGAATCAATTGTTGTACGAAATCGTGATGAAAGTACTCCCTATTGACGGCCGGGTTTTGTGGAAATAAGTTGTATTCTAAACCACCACCTAGCACTTTTGGCAACATATGTCCCGCATCATCACTTTTGCCTAGAAGCATTCATTATAATAACATTGATATTAGTTACATTCTTGCAAGAAAAGTGAAGAAATATTGTATTAATTCAGTTGATCTAGGAAAGTGTAAATATTATATAGTGATATATGCTAATTAACAAAAACATACTGGTAGAATGCTTTTAAGTTACCTTTAGTACTGTTAATTCCTATCTCTTTGATAATGTTTTTATAAGGGTCAGTCAGGTCTAATCCGGTTCTCAAATCGTCCATGGTGACTACAGATCGAGAATAATGTACGATTTTGTTTCCATCAATTGTCTCATATGACACTTCTCTGATGGGACCATGGGCAGATAGCGTAACTGTTTTCACCCCTTTGGGCAAATTCTTGTTGAGCTTGGCTTTGGTCTTATCATGGTCAGTCAATACATCATCTTCATCAGGTTTGTCGCCTTCGCATTCCGGGTCACTCCAATGTTCCTGGTCAGAATCGCTGTCACCATTTCCAGTTTGAGCATCATCTCGCTCCTTTTGCTTCTGTTTTTTCCTTTCGTTTTGAGCATCTCTCGCTGCCTGTCTCATTGGTCTAGCACGTTCGGCTAAGCAATTTACAGTGATTCAAATGATTACTATTCTATTTATTGTCTGAGCTGACTTAAAATTTACTGACCACCATTAGAATCACCACCACGATCACCACTACCACCACTACTAGCACCACATTTGTCAGCCCCATTGCCAGTAAGGGTCGTACCCACCGCGCGAACAAATGTGGCACCGGCCACATTTTTTACGCCCGCAGATATCGCAACTTTGGCCGCAGTTTTAACCGATGTGCTGGCAATGGCTGCCGTACCAACACTTACTACAGTGAGCGCATCCATACCCACACCCACAACAGTCTCACCCAATTTCCACAACGCTTTCTTACCATTGCCTTCATATATGGCTTCACCCGTTTCGTACACACTAATAGCCGTACCAACAAAGGGTACACATTTAATCCAGTCTACCTAGGTTCATTGAATCAATTTTTAATTACTTATAAGATTGCTTCTAAAGCACAATACTTACCATGTTGAAATTCAAATTGTTGAATATTTTGAACTGAATATGTTTGTGTGATACGTACGTGAATGAAATATAACAACTATATTTATATATTAAGATGACTAATTGCCTTTTTACAGAGCAATTGCAATACTTGTGATGGTTAACAAGGTAGACTTATAACATATAACCATAATATATTGAGTTGACACAACAAGCCTAGGCATAGTTATGCAAAACTGACGCCAGTTTTAAATATCACATTTGAAGGTTGCATTCAATACAGTTTGTATTGTAAACAAAATGTAAATAAACACAACACATGTTATAAGTCACGTAACATGTTATTATGTATTATTACATTTTTTAGTTACTTTAATATGTCATTATAATATCTTTAGCGGAACATTATATACTTTTATAAGATAATTATTTAATTATATTTATAACTAATTGTTTGTAAAGTTTTTGTTCTATTATTTAATAAATACAGACATTTATATTTGCCTCTCTCTCTCTCTCTCTCTCTCTCTCTCTCTCTCTCTCTCTCTCTCTCTCTCTCTCNTCTCTCTCTCTCTCTCTCTCTCTCTCTCTCTCTCTCTCTCTCTCTCTCTCTCTCTCTCTCTCTCTCTCTCTCTCTCAACCTCTCTCCTGCCCTCTAATTTTAACATATTTAACAACTTAAAAGTTTGGTTATTGTAAATTATATTCTATTTGTTATTAACTATTAAATTAATCCTAACTATAAAAATATATTCACTATATTTTAATTTACATCGTTAGTCTTCTTATAATTTTTATGTCATGGAAAAATGTGTAATAATATTATTGTTCAATGTTTTTAAATTATATTAAATGACAAAGCACAACTATACATTTATGTAGTTTTTGCATTTTGCTAGTTAATCTTTTAATAATAAAAAATATTACAATTATTTTCACATTTAGCATAACATAAATAGGATGTTAAATATAAGTATTCAGTAATTAATTTTAAACAGAAATAAATCACAATTTTTAAAACTGATTTTGGATAAAAAGTATGTTATCGAAATTAATTGCAGTTTTATTACTAGTGGTATACTGTTGTGCGCCGTCGGGTGTGACGGCCAATTGCCCACGTTTTGTCCGGGGCTTACACTATAACAAACACCGCCTGCTGTACCCAACCCGTCTGCACCCGATAGTGAGGCTGGTGTAGGAGTGTGGATTATAGCTATCAGACCGGCGGCTACCTCAGCTTCTCAACCACTTTTACGCCCAACCCATTTGCAGCCCGAGTAGGGGTGCGCTCCTGACGGCCGTACATCCCATACATCTGGGCCTTCAGACCGGTATAATTAGAAGTGAATCGCCCACTGGTTTACCACTGGATCGCAAAATATGGCCCCAATATCTAAAGGAGCGCTACAATTACGCCACACATATTGTCGGTTAGTATTGTTTATTGTATCAAATTATTATACTAAAGTTTAATAAAAATTATTAAAAATGTTTAATTGTTATATTTATAATTTAAGTCCAAATCTAATGTACTTAGCGTTGCCAGATATACAGGAATGACCTGTATTATACAGGAATTAAGGAATATTGCAGAGTACAGGGAGGTGTCATTCCTGTACATTGAAAAATACAGGAATAAATATTTTAAAAAAATACTATAAAAAGTATAATTATACTCAGATTTGTTAATAATAATAGTCTTCTACACCCACAATCTGAATTAATGCTAGAAATTAAATAATATTAAACATAACTAACTCAATTATAATTACATTGTATAATCACTCGAATCTTTACAGAAGTATAATTCTTTGGAAATTGTACAAATTTAAAGTTTTGATTTGCAAACACTAAAATACAGAAAAATACAGGAATTTTGGTAATATTTGCACAATTATACAGGAAATTCAAAATATTTTCTGGCAACGCTAAATGTACTGCATATAATTTTGACGTTTTAAACATTTGTTTGATTTTAACTGTTTCTAACCTTAAATAGTGTTGTATATTTATAATAATTTAGTGATAACAAGGGTATTTTTTGCTATATTTTAATGAATAAAAATAATATTAATTAAACATATATTTAATAACATTTAAATATTACAACTAAAAACATGTGCATACTATTACAATAATGAGAAATTAATTTACTTACATAAAAACAATATACTAAATTATTCACTTATATTTGTAGGAAAATGGCACCAGGGGTTTGCGCGCCGGGAGTTTACACCGACCTACCGGGGCTTTGATTCACACGTGGGATACTGGACTATGGGTCAGGAATATTACGAACACCACAAGTGCACAACATTGACGGGCGAAGAATGTTATTATGACTTTCGCCATAACATGGATATCATAACAAATGCTTCAGACGTATACTCGACCGAGTATTTTACCAATCGGTGTCTTCATATAATAGGTATTATAAGCCCTTCATTAAAATAACATAATGTCAAATATCAACATACTCCTAGCCTATTTACCGTATTAATGACATTTTAATATTAGATTTATGCATAAATTACTATTTAACTATCTAATAATTAAATCGCTTGCAATCCAGACCAGCACAACATCTCCCGACCACTATTCCTATACGTGGCCCATCAGGCAGTGACCGGCAATAGGGGTCCAATCCGTCATCACATCTCTCTGTTTTCACACATCCGGTCAGAGAGAAGGCAAAAGTTAGCGGCCAATGCTTACGGTATGGATGAGTCTATCGGCGCTGTTATGGAGGCCCTCCATAGCAAGCATATGCTCGACAACAGTATTGTTATATTCATTAGCGATAACGGCGGACAACCATA